GGTTTATACCATGTGAGATGCATGTATATCTCAATATAATATAATATATATTTTTTTAAACACATGTCAACTTGATGACCAGTTATTAGCTGCTTATAGACATATGCCAGACATTACAGGAGGTAGTTATGATTAGTAAAACACACACATACATATTAGATTGTAGTTACTTGGTGTACAAGCTCTGAGAGCAGGGACCTGTATAACCTGTATCCACTGTATCCTCAGTAGTCAAGCATAGTGCTTGGCACATAGTAGCCCTCATAAATCTGTGTGACTGAATGGTATTACATACATAAATGTTATAATTCTGTAACAAACTCTTAGAAAAATATACTAGGAAGGCCAAGTACTGTGCTCACACTGTAATCCTAGCTCTCTGGGGCTGAGGCAGAAGGATCACTTGAGATCAGGATTCAGAACCAGCCTGGCAAGAGTGAGATCCCATCTCTACTAAAAATAAAATATTAGCTGGGTGTGGTGGCATGTGCCTATAGCCCCAGCTACTTAGGAGGCTAAGGCAGGAGGATCACTTGAGCCCAGGAATTTGAGGTTGCTGTGAGCTAGGCTGACACCAGGGCACTCTAGCCTGGGTAACAGAATGAGACTCTGTCTCAAAAAAAAAAAAACAGAAAATAACTAGAAAAATAACATAAAGATGATAACAATTGTTAAGAGAGTAGGAATTATGAGGGTTTTTATTTTCAGTAACATGATTTTATTTTATAGTGAAATTAATTTTACTTTTTGGAATAAAAACCAATTGGTTTTCTTATACTTATTAGCATATTCAGAATCTTTTATAGATAAACCACAAGATTGAACTTACTGAAGGAAGATATGCAAATAATTTCCCGGCTTACAGTTGCGCAAGAAATGTAATTAGTTAATACTTAAACTTGAAGCTCGTTTGTAAGATAGCTCTTATTCAAAAGAGAAGGTACCTTATAACACCAAGAAGATTTGGTTGTGGTGTGCGCATTTTGTGTGCTCTCAAATCTAGATGTGCGTGACATATCATGTGTATCCCTTAAGCACTTATTGGAGGCAAGACAAGTGCTTCATTCGAATCTGAAATATCATGGGCTAAGACTACTATCTCTATTGAACTCAGATCCTGGTTTTTAATGCATGGTAGACAGTCTCTCTATATATGCATCGTGCCTACAAACCACTGCTATTTCTTATTTTTAGCGAATGGTGTATGGTTATTTACTTATTATCCATGTTAAGGTGCTGATATACCAAGGCGAGACATCATGCACTCTCTGTTGGTGTCTCCTTCCCAGACTTGCTTTATATGTAATATTTAACAGTGTGCAGCTCTTGTATCCAGCTTTTCATATTCATGTTTCTTTAATCCATTTTTACACAGAAGGCTCTCTAAACAATAGTGGGTATTTATGGCGTAGGTTATGTATAAGGAATCATTGGTCTCTATCACTATTCTATACCCCCTAAGTCTCTGCTTGTAGCATGCCAATTCGCCAGAGTGACAAGTATACATTGTGCCCATCCCCGATTTTTCCATCACAGTAGCTAAATCTGATGAACTAATGCACCACAATTATTTAATAACAGGGGCATACAATATGCATTTCGTTTCTAAGAGGAGTTAGTCCACGGTAGACCAAAGGATCCTATGATTCAAGAAGCGGCTGGGAAATTGTCCTCTTGATACATGACATGTAAACATTCATCACGGTCACTATAGTCTCACATTATCCTCCTAGTGAACCATTTGGTTACCACTATGAATCTACATGATTTCTTTGAGATCTGACAATGGTATGCCTACCAGTAGGTGGATGTGTAAAGTGTAATGATTAGATGAATTATATAAGCTGCAAACTATCTCGAGATGTCTCAGTGCGTGTTATTATGTTTGACAGGTGTTAGTCTCCTGTATATTGTTATGGAACTAATCATTATCTATAATATGATTACTGCTGCTGCATAAGAAACTGTTTATTAATGTATAGGTGCATAAGTGAGGGCAGGAGAGCTCTCCGCAGAGTCTAGTGGATGAACTCTATGCTACTGGAATACACTGAACGTTATCATGGTCACCTCCTGATCTCAGATTTAAGAAACAGAAAGCTGTCAAGCAACTCTTTAGAGATCTGTGCCAGTAGGGAAAAAAGGTTCATCCTACTGAGTAAGTTCACGCCTTAATATTAAGTTTCTATAAATTAAAAAATGTCGTTTTGTCTTTATCTAATCTGCTGTATCGTGGTTCACTGTCCTAGTATATTAGGAGATCTAGATAACAATTCCTACAACGTCCAAACAATTACTAAGACAAAGATGTTATATTAGTATATATATTTCAGGAAGGAGGGTGCTCGGGGAACTATTAGCTGGTGATTTCTACATAGAATTAATTGTTGTATAATATTAAGTCAATCAACAGCATTAATACTTCACTTCTTGGGAACTCCAAAGAAAACCACTCATCAAAGAAAAAGGTCGTAACGCAGGAAGGTTGAAATTTAACATAGTACTCAAACTGAGAATTTCTAATTGTGTAACATGGAAGATATATGGAGTCAATATGCATGGTAGGCACCGATGGTTTTTATGGAGCTTCGTTAATAGGCAGAGCTTCCACCTAAAGCTGGGATATTATTAGATTTCATAAATTACTGGATCACGAAGCTGGGGTAAAACTTCAAACTGCATCTCTCTTTAGGATTGAGAACTCGTTCATTTTTAATTTTTCCTTTTTATTTTTGAGACATACCCATCCATACATAATTGCTCTGTATGTTTAGGGGAGCTAAGTAGTTTTAGTTAAAGAGATGATGTCTTTTAGACTTCCCATTAAGGTTTAGAGTCTGTTTCAGCCATTGCTGCAGAAATAAACCATATGCTATTGCACTTAGTATATATTGCTTTTCATCAAACTAGTTTTACAATTGATATATGCACATCTACTCAGTATCATTACATTAGAAAATGACTATTGAAAGAGACACATATTGCTGAAAGATGAGTACAAGTACCCAGAATAGGATCTGGATTTATACGGACTTGACCCTTTGGTTCTATGATCTTAGTTACTAGATCTTTCTGGGTCCAGGTTCGCTATCTAATAATAAGTAAAATGTAAAATTCACGGACTAGTATGTCAGATAGTTATATTGATCTTTATGGGACCCCAATCTTAAATGACACCCTCTCCCTTTACCTACAAAACAGTCACTAAGGGCTTTGCAAGGGTAAGTTCTTTTGGGAGCAGCAAAGGAAATGAACTTTCATATGTGTAAAGGTAAAAAGACAGAAGCCAGCAGTGTAGGACAGAGAGAAGCATGAGCATGCAACAACTGCAGGAATCCCAGGAAATTTTAGAAAGTGTTTGCTTACAAACTGTTTAGGTATGGATAACGAGGGATTCTGGGGTCTCCTGGGAGGAAACGTGGGTGTTGTTTGCCCCCATCTTGGTCCCCCCTGCCCCACGTGTAATTCTCCCTCCTGGGGGGGAGGGAGATTCCCCATGATCTTGCCAATTCAGAATCTGCCACGCCAGCTGCAAAAATCTGCAGAGGACTCTCAGGCCCCAGGCCAATGAGCATAGGTTACCCATACAGGTCTGGAAGTGGGACCTAGAACCCAACAGGATATTAAGGCTCAGTCATAGATCCCAAATGTCCAATACAACTTGGTTCCATGTGGACCTCAATGAACACAAAGGAGGTCCCTTTGGGGCACTATAAAATAAGATGCAGACCACAACCGTCCCTCATTAAAGCACCCTTCCTTCTGCCTCTGTTCTGCAACAATGGGCCAGATCAGTCATCTGTGGCATGTTATCATGCTCTGTAAACCTACATCTGTTCTTGCCCTATAATCCTTCTTTCTCTCGGCCACGAGTGCACCAAGAAACCAGACAGTTTCGACTAAAACCTAATAAGACACATACATATATGCTTGAAACAAGTTTAACCATATACTGAAAGGGATTGAATGCCAACTGCACATGGGCTATGTGTAATGAGATGATTCCAGTCTCTGTTCTCCTGAACGTGTTAATACTAACTATCTAGCCCCTGTAGTACCTCATTGCCAGTTATGAAGCACAGAGTCAGATAACTACCTGAACGTCACTTGTACCCAGGTTTCGAGGGCCTGGACAGGACTGGAGATGTCAGGAGTATACCAAACGGGATGTAGCTGTGGAGGGAGGCTGATAAGACTGTGAGCCTGGCCATGCCAGTCATGGCGACATCATGGTTGAATCTCGAGCCCTCTAGTCAAGTCCAACCAGCTCTAGCAGAGTCTCTCCTTTCCAATAACCAAAATGTCAAAATAAATAAGCTGGAGAGATGAATGCAGGAAGGTGTACATAGCTCAGAAAGTGGAGGTGGAAGATGAAAAAAAAATTCTAAGTTCTTCTGAGGATTACTTTTATTCTGGGAATATCAGCAACAATTTTTTACAATAGTTCCAAAATAAAATGTGGACTATGTCAAGTTGGCACACATTACTATCCATATGATAAATCATGTTCAGCTGTATGACTTCTATGCTTTTATAACTTTATACTTTAATATAAACTAATGATAAAATGTACACTTAATATTACTATAAATGACTTAATTATAAGATGGTAGACATCTTCCATTATTAAGAGGTACATTACCCTTGATAAGCTCATGGGACAGAGATTGAGAGAAAATTGAGTACTAGAGTCCATCACAAACTATAGATAAATGGATCAAACTATACATTGGGGTGAGATGGTTGAAATAGCTCAACAGGTATATAGCGTATCTCGTTTTCTTTGCACTATGATTGCAGATGAAAGAAAAGCAAATATATCATCATAATATGTTACATATTTAACTCTATGGTTTTACACAAAAGGCATTTATTAATTATAAAAAATGAATTATAATCGATATTATAAATATTACTAATTTTATGTGATGGTTTCAGAGATCTTTGACATTGAGAAACATTGTCATCAGTCATATAAGAAAATAATCCCATAGAAGGTAAGGGTATAAAAGTCAAAATACAATGAAATGCTAAGGAAACATTTACAATTCAGATTACCAATAATAATACATATACTTTGAAAACTTTTATAAAAAACATTGACTTCAATAGCAAAGGACAAGAATAAAGTTCACAAAGAATTGCAAGTTTGTTAAAAATAGAGCGGTATAGAAGAAACCATTTAAACATTATAAATTACTGACCATTTTCTTTTATCTTATGGCAAAGATCAAAGAAGCATTAGCCAGTACATAGAAAATGAACAGTGGCAAAATCTTAAGCGAGCATCAAAAACTTGTCAATAGAATTGTTGTTAAGCTCTGATTACGCATCACAATTAAAAAATGCATATAGACTTCTACCTAGGCAATTCCACTTTTAGATGTATTCTTGACGCACATTTATACACAACATTACAAACATTTAAAGAATGCATTTTCAGCATTGCTATTTAAATTGAAAATCAGACCACAATCTGATTTCAGCAATAGTGCACTGATCCACAAATTGTAGATCTAGCAGTATAATTGAAACTATATGGATATAAATGAAGAATGGTATCTGAAAGAGATGCTAAGAAATAAATATCCAGAGTGAATGTGTGTAATATAAAATCGTATTAACTTAAAAAAATTAGTGCATAACTCACTAGTACTAAGATATTCTGCATCATGTACCTCTGATACAATGCAGACATGAGTGCCTGGAAAGAATATGAAGTATCTCATTTTTGAGAAAACAGAATGAACTAAAATGAGAGACTTTCAATAACTGATTCAAAAGCTCATTAATATTTAATATTCATCAAAAGTTATAATATATAACTTTATATTAAAAATGTCTGTAGCAATAAAATGACAAGATAAGATTCAGGGAAAGGTGAGTTCTAATATTTTAATCTTTTAAAATCGTTCAGTACATTGCATCTGTACATATTACAATTATAGTGTTGCAGAATCCTATATTAGAGAAACTTGGATAGGCATGGCGAAATTAATTAAATCTGTTCTTGGAATACAGAAAAAGATTAACGGATCGTTATAGTGTGATAGTTAATATAGTTTACATTGTGGGTCAATGAATAGAGATGAGTTAAATATAGAAGTTACCTGCTTAAATATCTATGTCTTTAGTTTAGTTATCTACTCATATCCTGACAGTAATAAATTATGCTATTTTTTTCAACACTAATTTCGTACCATTTGTCTCTGCATAACATGTGAGCATGGATGTCGGAATTAATGGCAGAGAATGAAGAATACACCTAAACTGGCCTGGCATTCTTACTTTGCGCCAATACCCAGTTTATAGTAAATCTAAGAATTATGGTCAAAGTAAAGTTTAAAAAGGCATCATTGATTAAATTGCTTTAATATTTACTGAGTCATACATAGTATATAGTGACAGGGCTGATAAACCAATTCCAAGAATTTAATCATGTCTGGATGATTCTAGGCACAGTTTTGGACAAGCTTTAAAAAAGTGGGTATTTTTCTATATAAAGCTGACAGTTCTCACACATTTTCCCCCTAGTTGCAGGAATGAGTTTATACTGAGGCATTTGCGTGCTCTGGTTGAGTGTCCCATTTTTAAAAAGGGGCTCACATTTGTTTTTCAGCTAGCCCAGATTAAAGGTTTGATACGTGGCATGCCCATGGAACATGAAACTTACTGACTCACTAAGTATCAAATTCTTGACCTTGGCACTCCACTTTGATTTTCTATTTCTTGAGACCATGTATGCCCCAGTAGTGGGGCTAAAGCCTAAGGATAATTTTAGCCTGCAAATTTGTGGTTGTAAGTTCTCATTGCTAGCCATTCTTTTTTTCTGGACTACATTTGACTGCGAATGAATGTTTTTGTATGCAGGTTGCTATTGCTGGGGCCCCAGTCACTCTGTGGATCTTCTATGATACAGGATACACGGAACGTTATATGGGTCACCCTGACCAGAATGAACAAGGCTATTACTTAGGATCTGTGGCCATGCAGGCAGAAAAGTTCCCCTCTGAGTAAGTTCAGACTTTAATATTAAGATTATAAATTTTAAATTGTGTTTTTTAAAATTGTCTTTAGTCATAATGAAAGTTAAAACACTAAACGTCCAAGACTAATATTTTATAGAATATTAGAATGGCATGGCTGTTTCTTGAAGCTGAATTACAGGCCAATTCATATAATTATGTTTTTTACAAGCTACATATGAAGCAGTTACTTATGCTGAAAGAAGTATACAACTGTTTCAAGGTGGAAAAAATTGTATGTCTGCTTAAATATATTTTACAAATAGGGACATGTATAATTATAATGCTATAATTATTGATGTGTTCTAATATTTTAATCTTTTAAATTCTTCAGTACATTTAGCATCTGGTTACTATATTACAAATTTAAATATTGAATCCTATTATTGATATTGGATATTCTAACATTATAGTATAAGGAAGTTAATATAATTTAATGTGATTAAAGGAGTTAAATGGTTTCCCCAAATATTCTATTTTGCCTAATCCTCTAATATTTGCATTTTTACAGACCAAATCGTTTACTACTCTTACATGGGTTCTTGGATGAGAATGTCCATTTTGCACATACCAGTATATTACTGAGTTTTTTAGTGAGGGCTGGAAAGCCATATGATTTACAGGTGAGTTATTCTACATTTTCTAATTAAATGCAGTGATTGATTGCTTTGAAATCTAATCACTCTGGGGTAAGGCCAGATTTTCAGCTACAACTGGTCTCTGCTTAAGAGAACTAAATTCATAGGCAAAGTTAGTAGTGCCTAGAGTTGGATAAGAATTGAGATTCTGTTGATGTCAGGCTGATAAACTGACCTGTTTACCTGTATCTGCTTTCAGTTTGTAAGCATGGAAAAGATGACAGGGAATCCATTCATTATTCTCCTTTACTTTCTTTTTTCACCTTTGAAAGGTGAGGAAATGCTACTTGTTTTCATTGTTATAAAAAGATTTTTTAGGCCGGCAGGGTGGCTCACGCCTGTAATCCTAGCACTCTGGGAGGCCGAGGTGGGCGGATTGCTCAAGGTCAGGAGTTCGAAACCAGCCTGAGCAAGAGAAAGACCCCATCTCTACTAAAAATAGAAAAAAATTAATTGGACAACTAAAAATATATAGAAAAAATTAGCGGGGCATGGTGGCACATGCCTGTAGTCTCAGCTACTTGGGAGGCTGAGGCAGAAGGATTGCTTGAGCCCAGGAGTTTGAGGTTGCTGTGAGCTAGGCTGACGCCATGGCACTCACTCTAGCCTGGGCAACAAAGTGAAACTCTGTCTCAAAAAAAAAAAAAAAAAAAAAAGATTTTTTTAACACCTGATTACATTGACTTATAATTTTATTTTACATTGACACTGGGGAAGAAAGCAAATTCTGCTCCTCCATTGCTCCATTACTCAAAAAATGGTTTTAAGAGAAACCGTTCCTCAATTTTACTCCTTAAACAGATTATGTGCTCACAAGAAATGAAATATATTACTTTTTTCTTTTTTATATTTCAGCTGACTCCTGAAAGACTCCTTTACATACCAAAGAGCTTTGTTTATGTGGGCTATATCTATCACTATTTCTCATATAAGATATTAAAACAGAAAAATTTTAAATATTTATTTTTATTTTAAAATATAAGCTATATTTATTTTAAATTTAAATATAAGCTATTACATGTTAATATAGATCATATTTTTATGAGAAAAATACTATATCCCAAAATAAAAAAATAATTCACTGAGAATAAATAGCATTATTTTACATTTTTATAAATCCCTTTATTAAGTCTGACTTAATAGAGAAGATACCTGAATATTTGTGATCTCTTTCTATCTGTTGTGATATGTTGTTTTGGCTAAATACATGAAGAAAAATTCAGCCTCATGGAGTATGTAGTTAAGAAGTGGGAAAAGTATTTTAGCCTTTTCAGATTATTGTGGATATTCTTTGATGCTACACCAAAACTGGATGAGTAGTAGTTTCTTAAAAGCTGGGGATTTGGGGGAGATTTTTCTTTTTTAATTTTTTTTTGTAAAGCAAGGTCTTGCTGTGTTGCCTAGGCTGGACTTTAACTCCTGGGCTCAAGCCATTCTCCCACCTCCGCCTTCTGAGTAGCTGGAACTATAGGTGTGCACTACTGCACCTGGCATCAAGCTTGGTTTTAGTGTGGAATCTGAAGCCATGTCTATAAACTTTCATACTCATATTAAAATCTATTGGATCTGGTATTTCAGACAAGATTGGGCACGTTCAGGGTTGTATGGCTGTAGACTGGATCTGGTATTTCAAATGGATGGTTTACCCATCTATTCGTCATCTGGAAAATATTGGTTCATTGTGTTATGCCAGTCTTTCAAATTTTGACTCATTTTATTATATAATTTTTTTAAAAACCACATATAATAATGTTACCACTGATTTTCATCAGAAAAGTATCTAAGTATTTGGATACTCATGAGCTAATAGTGGTAGTGGTAGTTTTTACAAGTTTTCCAAAATTCTAATTTTCACTCAAAAGCTCAGATTTTATCATTGGCAACAAATACTGTCAGTGTTGTCCTTGAAGTGACTAGCTCACTTCCATTCATTTTTGAGAAAATGTTTACCAGGTACATAAGCCTAAATATCAGTCATTCTTTGAAGTTAAAAATGGAGTTCTATTAAAAAAAAAAAGTAGCAATTCAGCTTGCAACTCAGTTTCAGAAGTTCTTTTCCTTGAGCACAAGTGTTTTATGCATACTTCCCATTTTAACACACGTTAAAAAGGATTGCAATTTAACAAAATCCTAAGTTTTACTGCTACTTAAGTGAAACTAACGTTTTCCTTTTTTACAACAAGTTTGTGGTGTTGAAGAATACTGTGACTTCTAGTACAATTTAATGGTACTGACTTGATTAATACCAGCAGTTTTACTCACTATTGCTTTTGCATCATTAGCACAGATGTCAACCCAGGGGATAAAGGACAAAAAATGTCTTAGTATTTTTCTTAAAGTAATTTAAGCTTGTGTATCCCTTGAAAGGGTCTCAAAGGACCTCTTGAAGTCTACAGATCGCACTTAAGGATTGAACTGTTGGTCTACAGATAAGTCCTTCATTAAGCCTAATATATGTAAGAAATTATAAGAGGAGAAGCGCCTTTAGATAGGATGTATTATGTAATACCTCCTAGAGGCTGTTCTTCATATTATTAATCCTGATAAAAATCTCTGGAAAACCTTGAAAGAAGATGTACTAAATTCTTATTTTGGTGTATTTTTATTTTTTGTTGTTGTTAAGATCTATCCTCAGGAGAGACACAGCATAAGAGTTCCTGAATCTGGAGAACATTATGAACTGCATCTTTTGTACTACCTTCAAGAAAACCTTGGATCACGTATTGCTGCTCTGAAAGTGATATAATTTTGACCTGTGTAGAACTGTGGTATACACTGGCTGTTTAACCAAATGAGGAGGTTTAATCAATAGAAAACAAAGAATTGATCATCACCTCTTGGTACCTGCCAAACATCTCCTGAAAGTAAATTTGGTGCCATGCAGGCAGGCATCTACAGCTTATGGATAGTAATCTAATAACTTAACCATACACATACAAAATTGAATGATACATATTTCTAAGGGACCTAGAAATACAAATACCATGAGAATTACTGAAAGAAATAAGACATTAGCACCATGTATCCAGACTACCCTATTTTCACTTTTAACAGCATTATTATAAACCTCATGGATTTAATTAGTGTATTTTTACAGTATACTTCTGAGTTTGTTAAAATATGATATTAGTGATTGGTTTGGTTCAATTTCAGAATCTCTGACTAGTTTCAGATTTGATAGCACTTAAATGTAACTGAATAGCTTATGTTTCATTGCTTGGGGTGTATCCAGCATGTTAAAACTAATCACTATTAAACCTAACTTAACCAGTCATTAATGATTTTTCAAGGATACCTTAGTGGCCTCCTGAAGACACTTATTTTGGCTCTGACCAGTTTTTAGCCAATTTAAACTGTATCTAGTATAAATAATTCTCATTTTTCTTTGATGACATGACAGAGTGGGTTTTTCCTTATGCATAAAGGCAAGTAACTATATATGTAGCATGAATTTAATTAGTCTTATGATATTGATAATTACAGGCAGAAAAATTTGATTAGAGCTTAAATATTTGCAGGCAAGTTTCTTTTTTTCCTTTAGGAAAAAGAAAAGGTACACATTCACCTGTATTCTTCAGAAAATTTTAGTGGGGCCAGTTTCCATTCAATATTTCCTTATTAAAATGTTCCAGAGTTTTAGGGGGGTTGAAGTTCTGGAATCACAGTGGGGTGGGGGAGACCAGGGTGTGGGGAGTGACAGGGACAGGAGGTGGTGGGGGGGGTCTGCTTAAGAACTAAGCAGAGTACTTTTAACAAAAATAGTCATGAAAAAGTTGGGGAAGTGAAATTTAAACTCCTAGAATGTTAAGGAAACAGGAATTAAGAAATCACTCTATTGCCATCACAGCTGCAGACTAACATTATTCAGGGGAGGAAAAGTTCCTTAGAGTTGTTTTTATAATTCTAATTTTTTTTAAATTTTTTCCTTTTAACTTTAGAAACCTTGCAAATTTAAGCTTTACCCTTTTTAAATTATTTGAACATAATTTAGATACTATGAGCTTAAAATAAAAAGGTTTACAGACAACTTCTTTCATAAGCTAATTCCCAGCAAGCTACGGCTCTCTTTTTCAGTGCTTAAAGCCTATAAATAGTTTTCTTGAGTGGCCATGACATTTTCTTGGTTTAGTCCTAGCACTTGACTGTGAAGAGAGCTCACAGGCTTTCAGGTGCTAATTGGGATCTGCCTTAAAAGGGGTCTTGGGGTGCTAGATGGGTCATATTGGCACCAGTGGCAGGGAATGCATCTATGAGTTTGGAGTTTGACCCTTTTTATCACAAGCTTCAGTGTTCAGAAAGTTGTTATTACCAATACTTTTAAACAACAAAGAAAAATTGCTGTTTCTTTCTCATCACTACAGAGAGTGGATTTCTCCCATAGTGAGCACAGCCTCCATTAGTAAGGATGGTTACCGTGCATCAGAGGTGTGGATTTCATCATTTAGGGCCAGATGGGAGGCAGGGTGACCTGATGGTTCTGTCCTTGGGAAGGAGATTAGATTTTGTTGTTTGTATTTATACTGTATAATAGATATCACACTTTTTCTTATTCACTGTGTATGTATTGATTTTCATGTTTATGATATTTTCCCATGCCAAAATTTGTTTATATTTTTTCAATGTTAAATTAAATTGATTTGGGTAACTTTTCTTCCCCAGGAAAATATTTTCCCCCTTGACTTAAGTATTTATCTGACTGTTGAGGGGTTTGAGGGGGGGGTGGGGGAAGAGGACTAATTGGCCTCAAAGAATCTATCATTATATGTGAAGTAGAAATGGTATGCAGTAGCTTTTAGACAGCTGCTCATTTGAAACCTTTTACCCATTAAGGCTCTTTCTTCAAAATGGCGTCTCTTATTTTACCAAAACAAACTTAGAAAACCTCATGTTCTCTTGAATTCACAGGTGTTTTCCTTTTGCATCCTGCCTTCTCCTTTCCTGATGTCACAAAGGATGTTTCTTTTATCACTCCCAGTCACTTAACTGCCGTTCTGCTTCCTTAGGGGGAAAAATACCCGACTAAATTGCAGAAAGATGGCTTGACTGAATTTCGTTTTTACAGCCAATGTGGAAAACATCACAGTCAATTGAAGCAATCAGAAATCTCACTAAAATTGTTTATGCCCTGAGTATGGGTAACAACTTAAAAGGCAAGAATATATAAAAGAACCAACAGTTTGGTGAGAGCCCAAAAGCACTAAGTTAAACATCATACTAGGTTTTTGCATGCTTGATAAATGGGTATACTTGAACAACCATCAAGAGATATAGTTACTTGAGCATTGTAGAATAGTGGAACTCAAGATCTAAAATTCATCTGGGATGCTTACTGAAGGAAATACAGTTTTGAATCTCACTCTTAGAAATTTATATTCCATTGATTTGGGTAGAGACCAGGAATGTGCATTTCTAACAAGGTTTTCAGGTGATTCTAAAGGAAGTCATTTCGGAATTAAGGTTTTTCCCTCCATGCCATTTCTGGCTTTTTTTCAAAGCACACCAGAGGAAGAAGTCACAGTACATGCATTACCGTTTTTGTTTTTTTTTGTAAAAGACAGGGTCTCACTGTGTCACCCAAGCTAGAGTGCAGTGGCACAGTCATAGCCCACTGCAACATCAAACTTCTAGGCACAAGTGATCTTCCTGCCTCAGCCTCCCAAGTGGCTAGGACTACAGGTGTGCACCAACACTCCGGGCTAGTTTTTTAATTTTTTGTAGAGAGAGAGTCTTACTACGTTTCCCAGGCTGGTCTTGAACGCCTAGGCCGAAGTAATCCTCCCGCCTTGGCCTCTCAGAGTGCTGGGATTATAGGCGTGAGCTACCACGCCTGGCCTGCATTATCTTTTAAAAGAATGATATATATATTGATGCTTACTTTTTTTACTACTTTATTTTCTACAGAAGGTATATTCCACCTCTCTGTACTATTGTTCTCTTTAGGTGGAATGATCTGTCATTATTATAGGACCATACATTTTTCAAGCTGGAATAAATCTTTGATCTAATCCAATGTTATCATTTGTTAGAAGAGCTGCCTGCACACTAGAGAGAGGAGGAAATATACCCATGGCCACACAGCCAGTTAGTATTGAGGTGGTACTAGACTCCATCCAGATGTCCTGACTCATAGTAGTTAAATGATATATAGAAAAGGTAAATTTTTAAAGAAGTATTTATTAATATATTCCTATAAAACATTTTAAAGGTAACCACATAAAATGGTTAATTTTTTCCATTCTAAAGTAAATGCTAAGCATGCTTATTAATGAAGCAGTACTTCTAATTACTATATGACATTCTGAAGTTAATTAAAATCATTGCACTAATGTGTCTTCCTTGGTGTAGTGGGCGATTTGAGGATTGGGATAGAGTGCTTGCTTAAGCCTGGGAGCCTGTCTTATATAGCTAGTGGATGTATGAATAGACATGGCCATATCTAAAGTAAAACATGTAAGGTGAGTATCCATTCCCAGCAGATATCAAGAAATAAGGGAACTTCCCTGACTCCCACCTTCACAACCCCACCCAGCCCCACCTATCCATCTTCCAGCCTAAAAGAGAGAGAGATGTTAGTGCAAGGTGCTGAACTGTAGGTCATCATTTCATAAGTCCTTCACAGAGAAAGAAAAAGTAGTGTTTGTATGTTCGTTTTTAAATAACCCAAATACAAACTTATGTTGTATTCAGCAAAATTGGGATTCAGGTCTTTAATTTTAGAACATAAAGTGCCTGCTGTTATAAGCATTGACTTGTATAAAAAGAATTGCATGTCTCACTCCAGTAAGTTTATTGGTTTTCTTATTTTCAGCTACATGGCTTTTAATCATGTAAAGTGAAACATTAGTTTTGTTGCATTTTATTACAGGTTCTTTGTTGCAATAAAGCTGCTGCTGAAATTAATTGATTTAAATGTTCCTTTCCCTCCTATTTCCCCATTTGTACAACCTTGCCTTGATTAGTGGCAACTGTGGAGTGATTAATACACATGAACAAGGTCATGTACTTGCAGTGGAAAAGGGAGACTACAGGGTGAATGATTACATAGGAGTCTTAGTATAAACACTAGCCAAAATGCATCCAAGCCCAATGAGAAATGTACAGAAACTTCTTTGTACCTGTAAGTCACTGATCCCCAACCTTTTTGGCACCAGGGACTATTTTCATGGAAGACAGTTTTTCCACAGATGGGTAGGGAGGAATGGTTTGGGGATGATTCAAGCACATTACATTTATTGTGTACTTTTTTCTATTATTATATTGTAATTATACAACTCACCATAGGTTGGGGACCCCCTGCTAAGTGCATCCCGACAGCCAGAGGTTGATACTATAGGAGTAGATGGTGTTTAGAGCCAGTGATTAGCATATCACCCCTGAGCAGCTAGGGGTTTCTAGGAAGGAATGCTACTAGTTTCTGCATGCTGCCCAGGAAGTTTTGAGGGAGTTCAGTTAATAACTTTCCAGAGGTTTAGGTTTCTTTGACAATTTTCTGGGTTTTTGAAGCTATATTAGAGTAGGGAGTAGGGGAAGCAGGTGAACCCCTTTAAAATTGAGTTTTGTGTGATAATCCTTCCAGAAGAGAGACTTAATCTGGGTTCTATAACCCAGAAGGTATATGTAAAATATTGCATGAACAAGTAGTGGTGCATTATTCTGGAGAGAAGCTCTTTAGCTTTATCAGATTGTTTTTCTTTCTTTTTTTTTGAGACAGAGTCTTGCTCTGTTGCCCCAGCTAGAGTGCTGTGGCGTCAGCCTAGCTCACAGCAACCTCAAACGTGGCTCAAGCAATCCTTCTGCTTCAGCCTCCCAAGTAGCTGGGACTATAAGCATGCACCACCATGCCCGGATAATTTTTTCTATATATTTTTAGTTAGACGATTAATTTCCTTCTATTTTTAGTTAGAGACGGAGGTCTCGCTCTTGCTCAGGTTGGTCTTGAACTCCTGACATTGAGCAATCCTCCCACCTCAGCCTCCCAGAGTGCTAGGATTACAGGCGTGAGCCACTGAGCCCGGGCTCTTTATCAGATTTTCAAAGGGATAACGATCAATAAAAGGACACACAAAAAATGGAAAGATATTGCATGCTCATGGATTGGAAGAGTAAATATTGTTAAAATGTCCATAATGCCCAAAGCAATCTACAGATTCAGTGCAATCCCCATCAAAATATCAATGACATAGAAATAAAAAAAAAAATCCTAAAATTTATATGGAACCACAAAAGACCCAGAATAGCCAAAGCCATCCTGAGCAGAAAGAACAAAACTGGAGGAATCACATTACCTGACTTCAAATTATACTATAGAGCTGTGGTAACCAAAATGGCATGATACTGGCATAAAAGCACACACACAACAATGGAACAGAATAGAGAACGCAGAAATAAATCCACACATCTACAGTGAACTTGTGTTCAACAAAGTTGCCAAGAACATACACTGGGGAAAGACAGTTTCTCCAGGGCTGGGCGCGGTGGCTCACGCCTGTAATCCTAGCACTCTGGGAGGCCCAGGCGGGCGATTGCCGAGTCCAGCGATCGATACCAGCCTGAAAAGAGTGAGACCCCGTCTCTACTATTCAACAGAAATAAATTAATTGGACCAACTAATATAATATATACGGACAAAAATTAGCCGGCATGTGCAACATGCTGGTAGTCCAGCTACTCGGGAGGCCTGAGGCAGGAGATGCCGCCCAGGGTTCTCAGGTTGCCTGTGAGCTAGGCTGACTCGCCCCACGCACTCACTCTACGCCTGGCAACAAGAGTAAGACTCTGTCTCAAAAAAAAAAAAAAAAAAAAGACAGTCTCTCAATAAATGGGTGCTGGAAAAACTGATATCCATGATGCAGAAAATGAAACTAGACCCTTTATCTCTTGCCATATATAAAAATCAAAATGAATTAAAGACTTCAATCTAAGACCTGAAACTATGAAACTACTAAAAGAAAACATTGGGGAAATGCTTCAGGACATTGGTCTGAGCAAGGATTTCTTGAGTAATACCCCCAAAACATAAGCAATCAAAGGAAAATTGGATAAATGGGATTACATCAAGCTAAAAAGCTTCTACAAAGCAAAGGAAACAACAAAGAGACAACACAGAGAAAATATTTCCAAACTACCCATCTGACAAGGGATTAATAACTAGAATATATAAGGAGCTCTAATAACTCAAGAGGAAAAAAATCAAATAATCCTATTAAAAAACAGGCAAAGGATCTGAACAGACATTTTTCAAAAGAAGACATACAAATGTCCAACAGGTATATGAAAAAATACTCAACGTCATTAGTCATCAGAGAAATGCAAATCAAAAGTACAATAAGATTATCTCACCCCAGTTAAAATGGTTTTTAACAAGACAGGCAATAACAAATGCTAGTGAGGATGTGAAGAAGGGGGAACCCTCATGCACTGTTGGTGGGAATGGAAATTAGTGCAACCACTATGGAGGTTCCTCAAAAAACTAAAAATAGAACTACCATATAACCCAGCAATCCCACTGCTAGGTATATATCCAAAAGAAGGGAATCAGTATATTGAAAAGATATCTGTACGCCCATGTTTATTGCAGCACTATTCACAATAGCCACGATTTGTAATCAACCTAAGTGTCCATCAGTGGATGAATGGATAAAGAAATTGTG